TTTCTAATATAATTCAGGTTATTTGTTTATGCATCTTAGGTCAGTTGTATTTTTTCGCTATTCGGCAAATGATTGTTGCAATTCTTAACTGCTATGTAGTTCCTCTCGTAATAAGTAGAAATATAACTATTGATAATAATACCATACAACAAACAGACACTTACAAATATCTGGGACACGAAATTAAAATAAGCAGAGACAATCAAAAAAATGAAATACAGGGGCGAATAGGCCTAAAATGGGCAGCATTTGGCAAATTAAGCCATATTCGAAAAAGTTCAATTCCCCTATGTCTCAAGCGAAATGTTTATAACCAATGTGTTTTACCTGTACAAACTTATGGAGCAGAGCTTTAATATTCACGCAAAAATCTGCGAATAAACTCAGAGTTACACAACGAGCCATTGAACATGCAATGCTGAACGTGAGCCTTCGAGACCACATAACAAACCAACAAATCAGGCAAATATCAGGAGCTCAAGACGTCGTCGAAAGAACCACGACGTTTAAGTGGAACTGGGCAGGGCACTTAGCCAGAACACAAGATTGACGGTGGACAAGACGTATTATGGAATAGAGGCCCAGAAACTATAAAACAAGCCGAGGACGACCACCGACTAGATGGACTGATGATATGAAACGTGTAACGTGAAACTGGCTACAATCGGTCCAGTGTAGAGAACACTGGAAAGAACTAAGGGAGGTCTATGTCCAGCAGTGGACGCGATTGGCTGATTAATGATGTAGTTCCTATTCAGTTAATATTTCGTTTTTATTCGTGTTCGGTTTTTACTTGGTTTTCATTCGGTTTTTATTTGGTTTCTATTCTGGTTAGGTTCCTATTCGGTTCCCATTTTGTTTGTATTTAGCTTAGTATTCGGTTTTTATTTTGTTTCTACTCGGATTTGGTTCGTGAATTCTCGGCGATCTTAAAAAATCGGAGCACGCTTACTGAGCTGCTGTAATGTGTCTTTGTACAAGAAATACATCCTCGACCTATTTGTCGTTGGTGGCACCGGTTACTGAGTCTGTTTCTATTATTGCTGAATGAAAGGTTTGAGTTTAATTTATCAGCTGCTTAAATTTTTGTTGTAATTAAAACGTAAAGTTTTAAATAAGTTAGATTATGTATGTTTACATAACAGTTGTGTGGAACCGACTAAAGTCTTAGACTATTAAAACTTTAATACATAATCTATCATAATTACAATTTTCTTGGATGTATGCTAAGCTTACTGTACGTATTAGTTAAAAATTTTACAAAAGAGTTGCCAGTTTACATTCGTTCGATATCTTAGCTAGAAAGTATGACCTCACGGGAGAAACATCGACGAGAAGCATATTGTAAATATAAAACTCGATATCTTCTCATTTCTTGAAACAATATACTGTTAGGCCAGTTCTTTGTCAGAAATTATAATTTGTAGGATAAGTTTAGAATTTTTTAATTAATTTTTCCAACATAGAAGATCAAAAACAATACACATCTTCTTCTTCTTATTCCTCTTTAAAAGCAATTCTGCTTATTCATTAGCGAATTAATCCCCCTATGGCAGGTTGTCACTTCATCTTTTGCACGGTTGTTCGATACTTCTTCTGCCAATTGGTGACTTATCTTTGATGAAACGGGTCTCTTACATTCTGCTTATGTGGTTATTCCATTCTTTTTTTCTAATTTTGTGTCCATTTTGTGTCCAGTCATTTATACAATGTACAGTACATGTTCGTCTAATGTCTTAACTTCCCTTTCGATCTCTCAGTATATTTCCTGTAATTCTTCTAATTACTCTTATCTCTGCCGTTGTGTTATGGCTGTGTCGGGTCTTGTTTTTGGGAGTAATAGTGAGAAATAGTAGTGAAAATTATAGTAAAGACAGTTTCACTATCTTATGGAATAAAAATTACGCAAAAAATATCACGAAAATGAAAATAATGTAATCGAAAGTAGGGATACCTCCAACATGTTTTGGAGTGTAAATATTATTGTATCACAATGAATGCACGTAACAAAATTAAGATCTTTAACCCTAGAATGGTACCGATATTTTTTAGGTAATTAGGGGTATCATGGTGTCATATACGACACATCAGACATTTTTTTAATTTAAACTAAGAAATTAAAAACGTACGTATTTTTTACATTTTTTATTGTGCAAGATTATAAAACGACTTTAAACAAGTAGAAAAGAACATGTTTATAACAGAAAAAAATTAAATTTCTTCGATACAAGTTGGACATATTGGTCTTCTGTATTCGGCACACAGGCAAGCTTTACAGCGGACGCACAGGTCTCTACCTTTTCTGTTGGCAGATCGAGGGCAAACTTGACATCTTTTGTGGGTTGAGAGAACATCCAAAATCATGGAGCGCAAAAATCTGGACAAAGTTGGTATTTCTAATCTCTTTTTTAGTTGCGGAGTCACCAACTGTAGTGTTAAATGCCTAAGAAAATCTTTCCTGGGAGTAATTTTTAAATTTGAATCTGATTTGGTTCTATTTGCGCTATAAATAACATAAGCATTAATACCTGCATCATTAAGCATGCCATAAAAAACTCTACGAGGCTACCGATACGATTTTTCTAGACACGGATTTAGAATGACACAACTGATCATAAGTGTCTACTCCTCCTTTTGTAAAGTTATAAAACAAAACAATCTCGGGCTTGCTAGTGTCTTCATCAATTACACCATAAGTATGAAATATTGACAGCAAACTGAAAATTTTTCTTTGGTTTTAGAGCAAATGAAACTAACATCTTATTCTCGTCAAGAGCAAAGTCAGAACTTGGCACAATTTTTTCTTTTTTTTAAGAAATTCTGGCGGAATATCAGACTTGTTCTTTCTTATGATTCCAACCATTGTCAACTTTTTTTGTAAAAGCTTTTCTACAAGATCTGAGGACGAAAACCAATTATCCATAGTTACATTTCTATTGGTGTCATAGAGATTTTTGCATAGGCAAAGAACGTATTGCTCTCGCATAGGCATAAGAAACCGATGCTCTTAGGTAGTATCGCAGAGCTTTTGTATAATGTTATTTCTTCTAGTCAACTTTTGGGCAGTTTTTGATAAATGCTCTTCAAATTATAGCGTTCTGTCTAGTGTTACGCCCAAGTACTTCGGTGTTTTGTTGTGGGTAAGTGTGGTATCTACCAACTATCGTCACTCATGATTCCGAAAAGATTTGGTTATCTTTTAAAAATACCTTGATACAGACCTTGACTGACTGCGAGGCACAGTCTAATGCCGTCTCAACCGGACCAAAAAAAGTGTGGATGTCTGCAGATACTTTTGACCTCGTTGAAAAACGTAGAAAACTTAAAATTGCTGGAATCGAGAACCCTCTCAGGAATTCCCAGTACCGACAGCTATCTAGAGCTATTCAGGCTGCTTGTAGACAAGACAAAAACAAGCATATAGAGAAAATCTGCAGAGAAATTCAACTAAACGCCGACGCAAATAACACCAAAGAACTCTTTGATAAAGTCAGACAACTCACACGCAAATTCAAGCTGAAATCTTGGTCTATCAAAGATGATGAAGGTAATGTACAGACGGATTTAGACAAGGTTATTGATGTTTGGAGGGCGTATTGTAAGTCTTTATACGCCAATACGGACCAGATGCCAGCGAACGCCCCATTTGTACCTGACTGCCAGACCTCCACTTTCCACTCTCCTTCAACAGAGACACACCACACTAGTTTTGAGTCCGAACCTGACATACTTTTTTCCGAGGTGGAATTCGCTTTAAAAAGACTTAAGTTAAACAAAGCAGCAGGATATGATCTCATTACTGCAGACGTCTTGAAGCATCTTCCGGAATGTGGAATGAAAATATTACATCGATTGTGCAATGAAATATGGCACACAGGCGTCTGGCCTGAGGATTGGAGAAAGACCATAATCATACCTCTTCATAAGAAAGGTTCAACAAAAAATTGTAACAACTACAGGCTATTAGCTCTAATATCACACGCCAGTAAGGTAATCCTCTACACACTGCAACGGCGTCTAGAAAACTTAAGTGCAATCCCTGGGTTTCTTGGAAAATTCTTTTTCACTGAGAAAAGGTGGTTTTCCAAATCTATTCAGTCTGGCAGTTCCAGCACAATAAATGTTATTCTGTTTTATATACTGTTATAATGCATATAATGAAAAAAAGTTGTCAAAGTATAATTGTATATAAAGTGTTTAAATTCTTTTACTAAGATGAATTACAACTGGAGCACCATGTCCAAATTTTTTTTGTAAAGTTTGGTCAATTTTGGTCTTTTTTCCCCGGTACAAAATAAAATCATATATCAGTTCACTTTCTCCACACAGTAGAAACAGTTTTATTCCCCATGGATTAGGCTTACTTTTTATATATTGTTTCACTGATAATTTTCCTTGAAGGGGCATATCTGTTTGTCGACACATAACTTCTGCTCATGTTCTAATTCTCGGCATCTTTTTAAAACGGCATCAAAAATTAGCTTTATAAAAAACATCTGTATTATCTGGATCATTTTCCAAGTTATTTATTCTGTGTAAAAATGTTCTGAGTTTATAAAATCTGTTTCTGGACATACCGTTTATAAAACTGCTCATACCTACAGCATTATCCCAATATAAATGTATTCTAGGCAGTTTCAAACATCCCATTATGATGTGTAAACCTATAAGGATCTCAAGTTCTTTTGAATTCGTGTGTGCAAAATTAAAATCATTACATTGCTGGGCATACAGATTTGTTTTCTCTGCAACATTTTCAAATAAAGCTGCCGGGATATATCTTAAGAAATATTCAATAGGCAACTTAACTTCTGTATCGCTATGTTCATCTTGAGGTGTGGTCCAATTTTGCATTGCTAGTGGGCAGTTTGTCTTTCTGTTCATTGAATTTGGTTTTTACTCGTTAAATACGCAAAAGTATTTTCATCATTTCTGTTAATAGTATTTTCTCCTATTACACCTACGTCGTCGAATATTTCATCTTCTAGAAGCTCATATTCTCAAAGCTCATCTTTATTATTGTCATCTTGTGGATCCATTGCAGCAACTTTGTCTTCAATGCGGCTTTCCACATTTTCTGCTTCTTCTAATAAATCTTCATCACCAGCTTTACCTTCGTAAAAATAGGAGAGATCCGAAAAGTCCCCGTTGTCTAATTTCTGCATCAAATTTTTCACATATTTGTCAACTCTCATGTCTCGTATAAAAATCGATGCTTTTGAGTTCCTTAAGCCTGTAAAGAAAAATGTTGCCTTTAATCTTTGAATGAAAATGCCTGAAAACTTTTGCCTGTAATCAACACGCATTTGATTCGAATCCAAAATAGCCTCTAAATACAGTTGTGCACGACTGTGTACACAAACAACTAACTGAAATTTACCTTCCAGTACAATTTTACACGATCGTGTACATAATGTTTTATACAGTTTTTTTAAAAACCTTTTCCAGATAACGATAAGATTACTATTAAGAAATATTCCGTAAACATTACTAAAATCATGCAGTATAATAAAACAGCAACAACGTAACTGTATAAAAATAAAAAATATATAAATGAAAGGTACTCACCTGATCCACAACACAATCTCCGTTTTTATTGCGTCTTTGGACTGTCGGCTTGAGCACTAAACTAAATACATCTTAATAAACTGACCAGATTTAAATACTGGTTACATAACAAATGAAGCTTATTGTCAAACTTTGATAAGAATTAGAAGAGCAGTATAAAAAATTTAGAGGCCCAGGTTCTAGGTAAAGGATTTAAGCACTAGGTATCTCTCTAATACGTTTAGCAATAAATAAACTATAATAATTATTTATTCCAGATATTAATTCTCACAAAAACATAAGATATTGGCCTATTCCTTGAAACAAAAGCTTAATGCAAACCTAGAAAGAGAAGTTGTGTTATTTTTGTAAAAAAACTGAAGAGGCACAATGTGAGTCGACGGTTTGGAGCATCGCCAAGATTAAATTATTATTTGTGCATGGAGATATATATCAACGGTATAACGATATTGATTTGGAAGTTCTCTATTTTTGGAATTTGATTTTTGTGGAACGCCGATTTGTTCTCGAGCGCGGAGTGCTAAGGTTATTAAAGTTTTGAGGGGATACCTACATAAAGAATTTTACAATATGGCTGAACTAAAAATGGTAATGTTGAAGAAAGTACAGCCTGCCGACTGTATTTAAGGAAGTGGATATTGAAAATTTAGATTTTTGAATAAATTTACATGTATCTTAGTATACAGTACTTTAAGTTTTAAATTAGATACACACACTATAAATGGCAACAATGTGCGCTTTCGACTTTCCATAACCTCCGTTGACCCGTCGCCAATAATTTATCATTGCAATAACAGCGCAGATTTTTAATTTATTTTTGTAAACAACAACAACATGTTTGTGTATACGCCCGCAGAAAAGGTTCAAATAATAAAATGGTTTTATCGTGGTAATTCCGGACAACAGTACGTAGATTTATTTTCTGTGTTCTTTGAGGGGAGACCAACTTCTTGCGCACAGTCAGTTCGTAATATTGTTAAAAATTTTGAGAGTTGTTATTGCCTCAAAAAATCCAGAAAATCTCACGCTCAAGATGTTACACCAGAAAAAGTTGAGGAAAAAGGATACCAGGAAACACAAGTTTGTGCATGAATTGAGGTAGATTCAACACGTTCAAGTAGAAACGTTGCTAGAAAGTTAGATGTTAGCAATGTTACTGTAACGAAAGTGTGGAAAAAGGATGGTTAAAAGAATTTTAAATATTGTAAAACGCAGTAGCTTTATCCCGACGAACCCAATTTTATTTACTGATGAATTTTCAGTTTCGTTAGTAGGGAGACACAATCCTTTCATTACGATGGATTGGGTGCGGGAAAACCAGCACATAAGTGTTGTTTACCAAACTCAACGTACTCAAAAAGTTAACGTCTGGACTGGCATTTTAGGAGACCACATAATAGGTCCATTTTTTATTAAGGACAACTTGAATAGTAGAGTATACCTCGATTTGTTACAGAATTATGTTCTTCACACTAGTCTCAATCTTGCTGATGTAAATCTGGAGAATGTTTGGTTCCATCAAGAAGACTGTTCAGTTCACAACGCTCGAATAATTAGGGAGTACGTAAACAATACTTTCCCGAATCAAGTTATCAGTGAAACAGGCATATTAAGCAGCCTATGCGATCTTCAGATCTTACACCCAGGGACTTATATTTTTGGGAACATTTAAAAAGCATTATCTACGATCATCCTGAGACTAGAGCCCAAAATTTAGATAAATTAAAAACCGAATAAGAGAATTCTTTCATTCTGTTACAGCAGAAACTCTTACATATGTCCGCAGAGGTCTTTATGATAGATTGGGATAGGGTTCAGCCGTAGAAGGTAAAATATTTAAATTATTTCTGTTGGGCATAAAGCATTATTTCGTATTTTATTAGGAATTACTTTTGATTTTTAATAAGTGTATATTTTTTGTTTTATCTTGTTAAAGAAATGCGCATTTATTTTTATTTCAACCACAAAAAAATTGTTCACATTATTAAAAACCGATACAAATGCACCGACTAATAATGGTCAGTGTATTGTAATCGAGTTTATGTTATAAGAAATGAACCGGCTATAGGTCATAAAAACAAAAATTTATGGACGGAGATGCATATCTATTGCGTGGTTATGTGTTACTAAATGGTTTTCGTTTTCTGATTGTCTGTCTAGGAGTCTAATAATCTAAGGTGTTGGAGGGGATCGAAGAATTACAATTACCTAGTAGAAGACAAAGTTGCCGATTTTACTGCTTTATGTAGTTTGCAATATCCAATCCAAATCTTAACGTACTGTATTTTGTTAGTTACTGATAAACAAGTTGGTTTTTATCTCGTAGTTGAAGAACTACATTTTTTTGATGGTACACAAGGCAAATATCGAACACAGTATTTAATTAAATCTTGCCCTGTGTTCGATTAAATACTGTGTTCGATATTTGCCTTGTGTACCATCAAAGTTCATTTATTCGAACATTCAACCTTATATTGAACTACATTTTTGCCTAAATATTGTACCTATTTATATGAGATTTAACCATAAAAGATTGTAATTAAAATTATATTTCTGACTACTAAACTTTTACGTTTTGATTTTAACTACGAAAATAGTTTTTTCTACTCTCTTACTAGTAAATTGTATATTACCTACTATTTGGATGCTAGGTAAATGCATCATAACAGATACTGACACGTAATGACTAGCACGTAATAAAAAAAATTACGCTTCAGTTTTATAAAAATGTGTAATATCTGCGGCTCGCGCGCAACTTTTTTACTCGCATGTAATAAGCTTCTTACAACTCTCGTTATGTAGGTAATATACTATTTTTCTACTCTCTTACTAGTAAATTGTATATTACCTACTATTGGATGCTAAGTAAATGCATCATAACAGATACTGACACGTAATGACTAGCACGTAATAAAAAAAATTACGCTTCAGTTTTATAAAAATTTGTAATATCACATAAGCCTCGTAAGTCAGTTGGTCGAGTTACCATGGAAACGAATAAACAGACGTTATTATGACAGATTAAAAATTATTAATCTGTCAGTGTAAATATAGTGGTAATTTAATTTTTATTTTTATAAACGAAAATAATGGTAGAAAAATTATAGTACACAACTTGAGTTGTAAGCTTATTACATGCTTGTAAAATTACTGCGCTCGCCTCTAAGCGGCTCGCGCGCAACTTTTTTACTCGCATGTAATAAGCTTCTTACAACTCTCGTTATGTAATATACTATTAAAACTTTAACTTAGATATTATGTCACAACAAAATAGCTTTGGAATTTTATATCATTACTGCACTTTTTGTCTACGGAAAATGACAAATCAGCATATTTAAAAAAACAACCACAAAATCTGAGTATTTTCTCTATAGTCTATATATGGTTAATATTGTTTAAATAATCTCATAATACGAATTTTGATGAAGTATTTTGAATTTATATTATAATAATAGTACAATGGGAACCTGTTTAAGAAAAAATAAAATACAAAGCTGTCAGACTAAAATAAAATATGGATTTTAAATAAAATAACTTTATTGTACAATTTGATTTTTTTGGCTTAACACAACAGTGTGTGTTTTCCTCACGAGCCCTTACAACTGCAGTTATTCGTCTAAAAACACTTCTGAAAAGGATACGACCAGTTATTGAGGCAGTCTCTTCAATGCCCCAATTAAGGAATTCTTACTTAATGTATGTTTTGTAGAGCAGGAAACGACGCCTAGGTGCTTTGCCTAGCTTACATGCTCTATCAGGTATAGCTCTGAGGAACACACTAACTAATTTATTGTTGTTATACTCATTTGTCATAAGAAGTCTCGTACACAGCGTGCGATGAGCGACGTGTAGGGGCGCATTATCCTGCAATAAAATAAATTATTCTCCAATGTATGGTTCAAAAGGTACCTCATGGTCTGGAAGAATATCGCTGATACACCTGTGTGCAGTTAATGCTCCACTATCAATCACCACTAACTCTGTTCGTACCCCCAAATATATATTGCCCCGCACCAACTTCATTAAAAGGTGCGGTCATAGTTAAATTGAAAGATGCATTTTGTTCTCGTTTACGTCGATAAAGTCTTTCTCTACCGTCGCTGTAATTTACAAAGAAATGGCTCTCGTCTGTAAAGATGATTTGTCTCCACTGCGTTTCATTCCAATTTTGATGTTTTCGACCAAATTGTAGTCGCTCTACACGATGGTATCTCTGGAATCTGGGAGCTTTTATTGGCACATACAACTTGAGACTAGCTTCTTTAAGTTTCCTTTTTTCCACAAACATTGTATAACAGGTTTTTGGTTTAAAATGTCATTTGACGTCTATTTCGTACTGTCTGCAACCTTATAAATGATTTGTTACATACTCCTCGGTTTGCCTCCAACGACTTACATAACAGTGGATGGTTGATGGTAATTTACCAAACATTGCAATAATATCCCCATAAAAATCACGTAACATTATCAATTAGGGGTATAATGAGAACGTTGCTTCAAAGCAACAGTAACGATTGAGGTTTAAATTTTTATATTGTACAAACCACTAACAAAAGTAATTTTTTTGTGGCTTACAATATGTAAGAAAAGCTACAGAAATAAGTGAACAGGAACTTTAATACCACAGTTCTTTTCTTTTGGCCCATAGATAGGCCATTGCCCTACGTTGTCTTTTCTTTTGATGTCATGTGGTCGACTTTTTATTTTACGTGTTTGGTAAAAAGATTCAACTATGTCCATTTTAAATTTTTTTAAAGGTATTGGTTGTGCTGTTAGCTCAGTCTATTGACGTTTATAGACTAGAAGGCATCGACAACACACACATCTAATAGATATGTAAAAATACCATAGTACCATCATCTAACCCTACTAGGACTAAAAGAGGCTAAAGAGAATTAGAGCATTAGTTTTATCTACACCTCCCATGTGTCGCTTATACTGTTTTATTAAGGCGGGACAAGCAATATTAGCTTTTTGTTGGGAATGATTATGATATCGCTTTACATCAGTTGTAGGCTCGATTTCACAATGAGTACTACCTAATAACATACATTTGTTAACATGATATTGGGCATTGAACCAGAATTATCCCCTTGTATGTTGAATTCCAAAGTTATTTTTTAAAAACAGAAGCAATTGTAGGCTGCTAAAATAATTGTCACAAAATACTACCATCCCTGCTGTTTTTTGAATAGTTTTACATAGTGCAATAACACTACTGAGAACAAAACCTAACTTATTTTCTATACATGTCAATTCGTTAGAGGTTCTTGCTAACTGGTCAAACGTAAATGCATCCTGATAAGCTATGAAGTCTGTGATGATGCCAGAATCAGCTGCTTTCAAAAACAATTTGAAACCCTATTTGTGTAGTTTATTTTTTATATATTATCTAAGATTCCCTGCAATGGTACCTTTGTCAGGAATCATGGTCTCATACACACAATATTGATTGCCAATATAGAACTTCTGACAATTTTTTCTAACTTCTCTTATTTTGAAAAATCGCTCTTTAATTATTGGAGGATAGTTGAGAATTATCAGCAAAATGTAAGAACCTTTTATTTTAATGGGAGTAAGCCATAATTAAAATAAGTTTGTTGACGTTTCAATTTCCACTTCGGAAATTGATATTGAATCGTCAATAAACTTATTTTAACCTTCAATTGTGGCTTATTCCCATTAAAATAGTATCTACTTTAAAATGTCACCAGAAAATAGCTTTAGAAAAGTCTAGTATTTCTGGTCCAATAATTACTTCCAGCAGCCAGTTTTATAATGCGCATAATAAGAGTTATGGAAATATATTCTGTATAAGTTAGTTGTAGAGGGAAACCTGCTTTTCGGTTGACTAAATATTAGTTTATTGATCCATATCAGCCATTATGTCAAAAGAGAAAAACTGTGCAAAATATTACGGTGGAGATACAATTTTAATTATTTCAGATAAAGATAAATCTAGGACATAATTTGTAGGTATGTCTTTTTCTAACCAAGTGTATGTTGCTACTGGTTTCTTTCCATTTTTTATTTTCTTTGATTTTGACTCTTCCAAAACTATTTCTTCCTGTTCAATATAACATTCTTCTATTACCAACATACTTTGTAAGTAAAGTTTATGCTAAAATTTCTCATAATAGAAAGTAACTGTATCATTTAGGTTAAAAATACAGCTTTCCTAAATGTATTTTAGAAATATTACAGAAAAATACGTATTTTTACTTACCGATTTGTTTATATTTGACTATCAACGTCAAAACTATCACACCGTCCTACTGTAGTAAAATTCGACGTGTATGAAAATTTTGCTGTTTGAGATCAACGTTGCTTGAGAACAACAAGCTCTCTTACAGAGTTAATGTGTTTCTTGTGAAGTCTCTTGATGTACTGTCTTGTAGAAGTTTTTTAACTTTTGGAATTTTGGAAGGAATTTTGTATTATCTGTCCTTTTTAGTAGTGGTACTTTTAAATTTTTTACCATAGCTCTGAGGATGACTTTTTAAGACGAAAGCGTTTACTTATCTAGAAATTAAATATTTTACACACCTTTAAATCACTTTTTATTTCTATAATTCCACCCTTTGATTTGTCATAAGTGTGTACAAAAATATATCAGTCTCTTTTAATTGATCTCTTTTTTCATCTCATTTTGTTAACCAGAGAACAAAAAACTGTGACCTTCGTAAATGACACTAAAGATAATTATCGTTAAAATGACCACAAAACTTTTTAACCTAGTGTCAAAATTGTTTTATATAAAAACGGGTTGTAAAATTACACTAAATTTTTACAATTAACACCAACTTCTATTACTTTTTAAAGGAGTTCACAAAACAAGCTTACATTTGTGTGAACAAAGATTGTAGTAAATATTTCAACAGTTAACAAATTATAATAAAAACAGTATTGATTGATTGGAATGTTGAATGTTTAAAATTGCAAAGCATAGAAATATTCAACGAAAAAATAAGAAAAGGTATATCAATCAAAAACGTCAACACCTTGACTTATATTTTACTCCAACTGTAACAGGTTGTGTTATTCATCAAACGAATATATTATACGATCATTTAAAAATTTATTTTTAGATCTACAAATACCACAACCGTTTAAAAAAATATCTTAAAACGGCAAGTAAAATTTAAGTAAGACTTTTTATAAGCTCTTTATTATCTGAGTTTTTTCGAGAATTTGATTTAAAACTGATATAATTTAACTCCAAATAAATTTGTGTGTGGCTAGCTATATACAACCGTGAACAAGAAAAATCTGCTTACCGACGTTATTCGCTTTCTTGCTGAAAAGTATATTAAAGGTTATTAAGCTAAATAAAATTGAAGTTAAATGTAGCAAAATGTTTACTGATGTTTTGATTTGCACTTTGATTTTTCGAGAGTAAAAAGGTAAAAAAAAACCCCAATATTTAATCTGTTCAAATTATACGTAAAATAAGTAAAGTTTTAATTATACTGAATTGTAAACTAATGAACAAAAACTAACAAATGATAACTATACTTATTTTATAACAATAATAATATAATTCTGAAGCTACTTTTTAATTAATCTAGTTTCTAGTGCTAGGCAGATTATTTAATCCATTAATTTACCATTTTTATTGGAAATAAGCATTTACTACAAGGTTTCTCCACATTTTAAAGTTTAATTAGATACAGATAACTAGATATCTACAGATAGCGAGGTGATTGTGTTGTGGATTATGAATAATTATTTGAAAAGTATTACCTATATTACTCTCGGGAGAACCTGCTATTCCTAAAAAGTGCGTTCTTAGATGGCGGATAGGGGAATGACCGACCCGGTTTACTGGTGGTAGGAAAAACATAAAATACCTCCCGTGAAACAACGCCGAATGATTGCCGGCATAAACAATCCCCCACTTGCTGACCAACGGCTTCGGGAGGACAAGTGGGTGGGTGGTTGGGCACTCTTTTGTCCTGGGGCTGAGAAACCGGCCCAAAAGGTAAAATAAAAAGTGATTTTTTGGTCAACGAAATAAAAATATAAAAGGCAACGAGAAACTACTATATTAATGATCCCTATGGATATTTTTAATACAATCATAATGGCTGTATAACACAATACAACCTCGCTTACTAATCATGGACATCGGAGACCAAGATCTGTCAAGACAGGTAATTCCCGTGACCACAGGACCTTTCGGGTCGTTGATATGCCCAATAACACACCTATAAGAAAAATCCACAGGAATTGTTTCAAGAGAATATTTACTTGGAACGTTAGGACTATGGCTCAATCAGGAAAAATCCAATGTGCAATCAACGAAATGGCAATAATGGGTACAAGCGAAATGAGGTGGCCAGACTTAAGTTATTGTGAAATAGAAGAATACTATTTAGGATCAGAAAATGGTAAATATGAAAATGGAATCGGAATTATCACACATAAAAGTATAGCTAAAAATTGTCAACAACTTCATACCAGATAGAATACTTCTGTTACAAATTACATGAATATTCTGTTACAACATTATACCAGCCTGTGCATCCACAGCAGATGTGATGGGAAAATATCAGAATTTTACAAACAGATCGTGTAAGAGAGATTATATTATATATATATATATATATATATATATATATATATATATATATATATATATATACATATATATATATATACATATATATATATATATATATATATATATATATATATATATATATAATGTACATATATATACCAAGACATGAACTCCTTATAGTCATGGGACATTTCAATGCTAAAATATTTAACAAAAAAGAAAGGCAACATATTGACCCTTATAAATTGGGAAAGAGAAATCAACGAGGAGAAAAAATGACTATCTTTGCAGCTGAATATTACTTAATCATGCTAGACACATTTTACAAACTACCACGTAGATGCCTATATACGTGGAAATCACCCTGAGACAACGGAGAAAACGTAATCATAACAAACCAAATAGACTATATACTTGTTAATAAAGGATATCTAAATACTTTTAACATTATTAAAACCTACCCAGGCGCCGATATCTAATCTGACTATAATCCTTTAGTGGGCTAGTATTCAACCAAGTTAAAGAAAACACGCGGAAAACAGTAAAAAACATGACATGAGAAAACTGAAATGTAGTAAAGTAAAAGAAATAGTCAGCAAAGCAATAAATAGAAAACTCGAAAAAATCGTTAATTCAATGCAAAGTACAGAAAAGAAGACAGAATCCCCTAATTAAACGATAGATGACATTAAAGACAATTTTATGAAGAATAAAGAAGATAAGAATAAGACATGGATGACGACAGAGATTCTGCAGCTAAAGGAAGAAAGAAGGAAAAACAAGAACAATAACTCTATGTATAAAATATTACAACGAAATATAGAGATAAAGATCAGAGAATAGGAAAGGAAGTGAAGAAAAAATGCCAAGAAATCGAAATTCTACAAAGTAAATACGACGACTTTAACGTGCGTAGAAAAATAAAAGAAATTGCAGGCAAATGTAGAAACAGAAGAGTAAGTAAACTTGTTAATGACAACGGAGAATTAATCGTGAACAAAGACAGTATTAATAATATCTTGAAAAATTACAAACGAAATTTATTTTTTGATGAGTGGGAGAACCAGTCACCAATACCTACGGAGCAGACGGAGTAAAGTCTGAATTTTCTTAAACTTCTTGATGATGAATCATTAAGAATACCACGTAAAATGCTTAATACTATCTATGCCATAGGCAATATTCCAAAAGATTGGCTAGTTTTAGAATTTATTACGTTACACTACGTTACTAATGAGCCATACACTAAAACTTTTTCTTAAAATTATACATCGCAGAATATACAAGCTATGCGAAGAGAGAATACAAGACACACAGTTTGGATTTATGACAGGCGTAGGTACGCGAGATGCACTGTTTAGTCTACAGGTATTATTCCAAAGATGCAAAGATATGACTTGCGATATCTACACCTGCATTTTGAACTACCAAAAAGTATTTGACATAGTTTAGTACCTAAAAACAATGGATGTTCTAACAACAGCTCAAATAGTTGATAAAGACCGGCGTATAATACAAAATTTATGCTGGAACCAATCAACCACAATAAAAACAAATCTTGGAGATAAACTGCCGAAAGCGCTTCAGATTCCGCGAGGCGTTAAACAAGGATGTATACTTCCACCTATATTATTCAACCTATATTCAGAGGAAATATTTAGTAAAGTCTTGAAATGAATGAAATGAATAATAAACAAAGTATATGAAGAAAGTTAAAGGTTTGGACTACAAGTAAACATATCAAAAACTAAATTTATGGTCTTTAGCAAAAACAAAATTAGAGACCTCAAACTGTGTATCAAGAATACATCAGTGAACTGAGTAATACAGTTTACCTATCTCGGAATAATAGTAAACGAACAATGGGATCACTCACAAGAAGTAAAATGTAGAATAGAGAAGGCTAGGAGTGCATTCAACAACATGAATAAACTCTATAAAAGTCACAACGTTAATCTGAAGATAAAAGTAAAACTCCTACGATGTTATATCTTCTCGATATTATACTACGGGTTCAATCCTGGATACTCACTGAAGGGATGGAGAAAAAACTTGAAGCCATCGTGATGTGGCTATACAGGAGAATCCTGAGGATATCGTAAACGAACAAGATAACCAACGAGACTGTACTACGAAGAATGGGGAAAGAAAAACAAGCCATATATACTACTAAAGGGTTAGAATATCTCGGACAACTAAGGGGAAACGGCACTAAATACAGATTACTGAAAATAATCCATCCAGGCTAAGTATTCCGGAAAGCAAGGAATTGGGAGAAAAAGTAGATCATGGTTAAAAAACCTGAAACAATAATTCACCACACCAACAACTAATCTATTTAGAGCATAAGTTAATAAAATAATTATACCCAGAATGATCGCCAATATTCGAAACGATGAAGTTTAGGCACCAAAAGATGAAGACCTATATATTTTAATAATAATAGTATTATTTACATCCAAATTTAAGATGGGACTATGACATAAGGAAACAAGCAGGTACAACATGGCACAGAAAAGCGAATGTTGGACAATCGTGGATAGAAATCAAGACCGACTAGGTAAAGAAGGTTGCACCTAATGGTAAAATTCGCTTAGAATAATGATTATGTTGATATATATATATATATATATATATATATATATATATATATATATATATATATATATATATATATATATATATATATAAAAATACTGGATATTAGTGACTGTCGATATAAACAAACAAGACAGTTTATTAGGGTTGCAGTCAGAATATTGGCCGGGATGTTAAAAAAAAACACTCTTTTGACTTTTTGTCGAGCTTTCGGAATGGTTTTATTCCTTTTTCAAGACATTGTAATAAGACAAAAATGTAAATATTTAAAAATATCACAATTCTTCAGTGTAACTTACTAGTCGTTGAGATTGTTTTTGTAAGCATTGACACTCAACATTTATATCACACATTAAAATATACAATTATGGACATAATACATCATAAAATTTTTAAAATTTGTTGTAAAAATAGTAAAACTTGATAGATGGCATGTTTTACTGGTGTATATTAACAGAGAATGGAAAGAAAAAACAGTGTAATTAATATGTAATTAGGTGTAATTAATGTTATCTTTCTTTACAAGAAATACTAGAGGCCCTTTTTAGGTGACTATACTTTTTGAACCTGTCTTAATGGTATGCAACATATTATACAGAGGTGTAATTTTTGTACAGGTAAATATTTATTTTATTTTTGGTGTTTTTCTAGTAAATAACAATAAATGTTACTTGATTTGTCTATGTCGGACTTTTTGTTGATGCAAGATGTGCTAGATTTTATGAAACACATTTCCAAAAAAACACGTTTTGAATGGTTCTTTTCTTTTGCCAAAATACAGGAATCATCGAAATTGAATTCATGTTTTAGAGTTAGTGCATGTTCTGTCAATGCACATGCATTGATTTTTTTGGTTTTTATATCACTGCGATGTGATATCACCCTGCTGTGAAAGTTACGAGATGATTCTCCTATGTAAATTTTATTACAGTTACTACACGGTATAGAATAAACAACATTCGATGACTCCTGTATTGTGAAAGGATCTTTTGTTTTTGTGTAAAGCTTCGATACTGTTTTCACATTTTTGGTTGTAATTTTTAAGTTACTAACATTTTTAAAGATGTTCATTAGCTTAGGTGTCAAAAATAGAATGTAGGGTAGGCAACCATAAGTTATTTTAGATGGTAATATTG